GGTCAGAAGTTCACGCTTTCAATAAAACTGGCATTTTGGAGTAGTCAAAATTGTCAGTGAAACGGATCTTTTAAATCAATTAACGATGCTGTCTGTGTCTGGCAAAATAACCTGTGTTCATTCCAGTTTGGATTTGGTTTATCCCCTAGATATGGGTGAGTAGCCCACACAATGCTACTGGTTACTACACGGTGTACGGAGAAGAAGCACTGCACGCCGATCACTTTACTGCTCGCCTGAGCTTTGGGGACACGCAGACCGTGTGGGCTCGCACCGGCTACCTGGGCTTCCTGCGCAGGACGGAGCTGACAGACGCCAGCGGAGGTGAGAGGAGACACCTGCACCTGCAGGAACACTGGTGTCAGGCTCCTAGGGAAAGCTGAGCCAGCAAACATTGGGCTGTCCAGCAAGTTTATGCTGACTTCCCTCACAGAAGACTCCTGAATTAAGGAGGAGATGTTCTATCATTCAGCAGGTTCAGGGCGTGCACAGACACCAGTGATTTTGCAGTCTTTCAGGAGTTTTAAAGGTCTAGAGGAGAAACTTTCCTGTATAGAAAATAAATTGTTAATCTTGAGGGTTTTTTGATCTAAGCCAAGATGTCTAAATTTGGGAAGAGTTTATCTTGCATCTGCACTGTTTGTATACAGAATGCAAAGCAGATATAGCTCTTGATTATCATATATGTAAAGAAATAAACCTCTGAACATTCTAAGGAAAGGAGTTTGCATGCTTGTAACTTAGTAACAAATGTATAATTTATGTGTTACTTAGTAACAAATGTATATTGCTGGTTTTCTGTGACTGGATTTAAATGAATGGGGTCTACATGAATAGTGTCAGTGTCCTGACTGCTGCCACTGAATAATAATAATAGCAAGGTTTTGGGCCTTGTAGCTTTCTGAAAAATCACATATCATAGAGATTTTTATCACCATGGAACAATGTCAGTTTAGTTTTTAAGAGACTTTATGCAGTGAATTTACAGTATACATTAAATACAACTTCCCAGCATGATTTTCACCTCCAGTAACACAACTGAACAAGACTATAAAATAGTTAACAAAGAAAAAGCAAAATTGAGCTGAGCAGAGTTACAAGTGTGAATGTGGAGAGTGTGTCCTTCAGGTAGGGTCTAGGAGAGCTTTGCTTATTTAACCTGGCAAAGCTGGTGCTGGGGAGAGGAGAGAATTGTTATTACTGTTTAAACTGTGGCATCTTAAGAAACTGAGTAGAATTTTGCTGGTAGGAGTGGGCATAAGCTGGTGTTAAAAAAAAAGTTAAATTTGGAAATTGGAAAAGTGGTTGTGTCAATCAGAGAAGAAAAGTGCTCTGGTAAGAATAGTGGAACAAAAAGATGTTTTATTGGTGGATTTTGCTTGGGTTTATGATCCGAGGTTACATTTGTTGAGAGAAAGGACAGAACTGGATGACCCAGAAATTCTTTTCATTGTGGTTTCAGTTGCTTGGAGTCATAGGCAGAAGTACTATATGAGCTCTTAATTCTCTCAAATGCTAGAGCTTGCATTATAGACTCTTTCCCCTAGGAAGCACCCAGAACATCTTAGAATGTCAGGAATAAGCACATAGAAGTGACTGTGTTTGTCCTATAGATGTGACAATGTTGAAATGTGTGTGCTGTATTGCAGAGAGGCACGATGCCTTGTATGTGGTGGGCTCTTTGGATGAAACACTGGAGCTCAGAGGAATGAGGTACCACCCCATCGACATAGAAACCTCTGTAATCAGGGCACATAAGAGCATTGCAGAATGGTAAGCAGCATTATTCTTCTGTATCATTTCATTTCTTCTAAAGCAGAAGAACTTATAACTTCCTTGGTAGTGTCAGAATGTACACATGTGAGTGTGGTAAACACAGCTCAAGGATTTCATGGATGATGTCTTCTCACATGTTTTATTCCCATTTGGCCCTAATGAGTTATGTATATCATTGGCTGTAGGTCCTCTCCAGCCTCAAAGCATTCAGGGTTAGTTGTAAGCTTTGGGAGGTCATGTCTTTCTTTTCATGATCTCTTAGTGACTTGTCTAGGTGTTTTTTCCTCCCCATTAACACGTGTGTCATGCCAACAGTGCAGTGTTTACGTGGACAAACCTGCTGGTGGTGGTGGTGGAGCTGGAAGGCTCAGAGCAGGAAGCGCTGGATCTGGTTGCGCTGGTGACAAACGTGGTCCTGGAAGAGCATTATCTCATTGTTGGTGTCGTGGTCATCGTGGATCCCGGGGTCATTCCCATCAACTCCCGCGGCGAGAAACAACGGATGCACTTGAGAGATGGATTTTTAGCTGATCAGTTGGATCCTATTTATGTTGCCTACAACATGTGAAAACAGCAAATAACATCAAGGCTAAAGCACCAAAATCCAAGGGGCTTTCCTCATAATAACATTGGAATCCATGCTCTTGTTTTTAAAAGCTGTTGAAGACTTTAGGAAAATGGAGATACTTCTCTTTACATGCAGCCCTTCATCTCCCAGATTGCATTTGCTTTCATAAACCCATGTAACAGTCACAGCTGTCTTAGGATGGAGAGTTTACTGGAATTCCTGAAGGAAGCTTATTAGAACTATCATGGACCAGTTTTATTTTAGGAGCGGGGGGGGCAGAGGGGAGAGAATAATTATGAATGTCAGTACTTGATGCACTGCATAAAAGGACATAGAGTGGGGTGGGGAGAGAACAGCTGTGAGGAGGACTCCTGGAAACAGCACCCAAAGTCGTGAGTAACCATCCAGAGTTCACCCTCCACGTGACTGCAGTATATTGGCAGTATCGGGGTTGGGGCCTATCCTTCAACATTGCACACACCTCTACCACATTCTCTACTGAAAGGAATTTTGCACATATTTGAGATTTAAAAATGCAGCCTTTTTATTTCAAATCACTGACTCATCCCTCTTCAGAAGAAGCCAACCCCTTCCAATCCTGGATGCAGTGTAACAGTTATGCTGCTGATCAGCTTTTTTGTACCAAGCAAAAACAAATACTGTAACAAGGTTACTTACAGTGCCATGCTGGACTCTGTAATGCTATAAACTTTATAATAAAATACAAAGTAATACACAGTTTGAAGTACTTGGTGCAGGAGCCTTCAGTGCTCTTGCTCTTAACTCCATGTCAAAGTCGCTTGTTCTCATAGTGTGAGCTGTTAATTCCTGCCCTGCATAATGCCAAGGATATGAAAATCCATTCCAAAGCCACTCTGAATTATTTGTATAAATGTTTACAAAGCATAAGCTTACAAAATGTTTTCCCTGAATATTCTGTGCTAAAACTTGAAATAGTAACTTTTTTTTCCCACCATAGAAAACCCATTCATTGTTAGTTAGCTTGAGCTGTTGTGGTACAAACTTCCTTTGTTTTCTTTGGAGTTGTATGTTTAGCCTGAACTCTTTTGTTCGGGCTAAAATATCCCAGTGGTTGGGTCACAGTTGGACTAATTAAGGTTTTGAAATTTCTGCCTGATCCAATACTGCAGTGAACTTAATGCAGAAAGAGAATGTGAAGTTATTAAAGTAATTCTGTGTTTGGAGGTGGGCACAAGACTAGAAAATAATTATTTTTATAGATTTGTTAAAGAGAGCTACATAAATTTTTTCTAATAATGCACAAGGTTGCAGAAGAGCCAGTTACTTCTGCAAGGCAATTCTGCCTGGATTAGTGCCTAAGAAAGATGGATGTCAGTCCCCTGATAGATCAGATTTATCCACAGTCACATAAACTCTGAAATCTTCAAGAAAAAGCTCTGCTTTACAGTAGTTATGGGCCCTGATGGTGTTTACCTGTAGTGTATAATACAGCTGCATACTCTGACTGTAATTATGTACAGAACTTGTGTAACTTATTGTTTGAGTCCAGCAGTCTCCAGCAGCAGGCTGTGGGACACCCCTTCTCCCAAAACAGCTGGCAAAAGGAGACAACTCCCTAACCCCCAGTTCCATGTTGTAGTTTTTTAGCAAACAAAGCATTGTAAGACTTTTGTATTGAGATACTGATGAAAGTGATACAAGTTGCCTTGTAAAGCAAATCTTAAAACAAAAAGCTTATTAAACATTTCAGAACAGCTCTTGCAAATCTGACTTGATGAATGTTGAAACATAAACTGTTAGCTCAAAACCTTGGCTTAGCACAGTTCTCATATATCAGACAGTTTAATGTATTAAGAGCTTTTTCTGCAAAACCTCACTGCAATTGCTTTGCAGGTAAAGCAGTTGTAAAGCCTGGATGGTCCTGAATTTCCTGTATTTGGAACCCCTGCCAAGCTGCAGTGCTGTCCGTCAGCATGTCAGGTATGGCACCGCTGCCATGGGGCTGGCAGGGCATGGCTGTTGTGATGGCACTGCCACGGTGCAGCTGCTCCATGCATGGCCCAGCCTTTCCAGGGCCTTTCCAGGGCCTTTCCAGGGCCTCTGAGCTCCAGCTCCAGGCACAGACCTCCCATGTCCCTGCTTGGTTTGCAGCCAGACATCCACTGAAGTTATACCCTTGGGAAACATTGCAGAAGGCTGGACAGAAAGGCCTGATGCCAGCTCCAGGCTGATGGCTGCAGGGAGAAAGCACAAGCAGAAACAGCAGCATTGGGATGATCCCCTCCAGCAGCTTCATCAGGCTGCACTACCAAAATTCTCTGGAACTGTTGGGTCAAGCAGGTTCTCTCTCCAGGCTCTCTCCCTTCAGGCCAGTAAGTCCCATGGGCCCCTGTGTCCCCTGGGAAGGAGAGATGAGAATGAGAGGGGGCATTGGGTGTGAGAAGGGTTGGGGATGGCAAGGGCCATACTCACAGGACACCCTCGAGGACCAAGGATGCCCTGGAAAACAGCAGCTCGGGAGGTGAACATGTTCCTGCCAGCCAGGGGAGTTAGGATGGGATTAGATGGAATGGAATAGGGTGGCATGGCATGGGAGCTCCAGCCAAAGCAAGGATAGACAGTAGACTTTGCTGGGGAAATACAGAGGAGACAGCAGTGCCCCTGCCAGCTGCTGAGACTCACCCAGCACGGGGAGCAGGGAAGCACAAGCGGGCTCAGGGAGCAGGCAGGGTGATGGGAAGAGCCCATTGTGCAGCAGCAAAGCCAATGCACACCCTTTCTCACCAGCTGCCCAGGTGATCCCCTCACCTTGCCCAGCATAGCTGAGGCTGTAGTCTTGGGGGGGCTCAGGGCCAGCCATAGGAAGTTTGGTCCAGTCTCCACTGTGCCGGATGGGATAGCCAGGAGGTAATCTGGGGGGAGGGAGGGATGGATGCACAATCTGGCACTCAGCACCTCTGCCCCTTAGGGAGGAGGTTGGGGCCCATCCAGCAGGTCCACAAAGGCCCAGCAGTCGTGGATGCCCTGTGTGTCATCAGTGACATCTATTGTATCCAGCAGCTTGAAATAACTAACATAGAAGGTGTCAGTAGGCATTGAGGCCACAGGGATCAGCTCTCTGCACGGTGCTTCTCAGCTCGAAGGACAGCTGTACACATTACAGCTTCATAAGGATTAAAGATCCCAATAGAAGTCACACAAAAATATGCCAGGACAAAAACATGTGCTTCATGTCTCTTTCTCTTCATCCAGATTGTGCTGCTGTCCTATAAGTGCTTCCAGTTAAGATTCAGATGTCAAGAGAGGCAGAACACAGGGCTACGTAGCACTGAAAAGCTGAGGGCATGGTATAGTCCAGCAAGACACTTCTGTGTAGGAGCTATTGTTGGACGTAGCCAGTGCTGGATGTGCTATGCAACTTCTGCTTGGTAAGTTCCTGAAGGAGGACAGCAATGCTTTCTCATGGGAAGGAAAGAATGTAGCCCCAGTGTTGGAGGTGCAGATAAGATGTGCAGCGCAAAGGCGGCAGCAACTTTCTATCCTGGCATATTTGGTTTGGAAGCACTGACTAAATTTGTACATGGAGTTGGTATCTATCTTTGCAAGGCTGTCTCCCTCCTGAAAGATTAAATTTGGCATGTGTTTTCCACTTCTCAGAGGTAGCCCTCTTGAAATTCTGCCAGCACAATTCTTTTGGACGAGGTAGGCAGCTACGCTAGGTCTTGGTGTGTAGCTGGTCTACTGCCCTGGGCAGGTAATGCCCAGTACCAGTGTTCTGACACCTCTGTAGGGGATCAGTCCCTGGATGTTTTGGATTTTGGAGGAAGGGTTACCATTTCTTTTGAGATGGAGTTCTAGTTCCTCTCTTTGGCAAAGAAAGCAAATTTGGATGGGCACTTTTGAGTGGTCTCAGTGAATTTAGAGGCTTTTCCCAATAGGCAGTTCTCTGGGTTAGAGCTGTTGAACTGTCAGTGGGAATGCAGATGCCAAACTGTTGAGTTTTTGTCCTTGTAGCTTTAGTGTGTGAGCAGTCCCTGGTGCCATTCCATTTGGATCCTGACTCTGTGAGACTGAAGGCTTACGGTGGTACCTGGAGCTGAGAAGGAAAGTGGCGACAGCAGGGTGTGCCTTTGTAGTTTGATGGGTGCCATTGAAATTGTAGGCAGCAAAGAGCTTTCTCCACCGACACTTTTGTGAGCCCCGGTTTTGGCAGATGTTTTCGAGTTTGTTACCTGTGAGAGTGAAAAGGTTTGTTAGGGGAGAGGAGCTCATGTTGCCGTTTGAATGTGCTGCAAGGAAGAGTTTGTACTTGGAAGGGGAGGATCAGACAAACCGTTTTGTCCTCACACAGGTGATTTGAGAGCAGGGATGTTTCAGACTTGGCTCTGTCCTGGGGCTGGATTCGAGCTGGCCTCGGTGCGTTTCCGTCTTTTGTGAGTTGACAGCGCTATCGTGTGGTTGTACTGGTTGTGCAGTTTATAGGCTGCAAAATAAAAGGCAATTGCAGCACAGCCTCTTCCTTTTAGAACCTTTTCTGTGCCATCAGCTGCTCAACATGTAACTCACACCCACTGAACTGCATCCAGCTCCCTGGTGATGTATTAAAAATATGGATATTGATCTAGTACCGATATCCAACTGTGATGGACAAAAACTCTCTAACAGTTTAAAGTTAGAAAGTGTGTATTTATTGTGTGCGGGATGGCTCCCAAATCCACACCGTGCCTTCCAGGTGATTACAGAGTCTTTTTATCCATACAAGTATTGAATACACAAAATACAAATACATATTCATAATTTTGGTACATCCCATTCCCCACTTCGTATGCTAATCACTCCAAAAGCCATTCAGCATGCGTGGTTTGTCCCTTGAAATGGGTCAGTGTCCCATTTATGGGGAGGGGTCCCAAAATGAGGAAGTCAATGAAGTCTTCCTCGTTCTGACCTTTCTACCTTTTTAATGCAAATATGACAAATGAACTCTCGGTAGAACTCCCATTCCTTGTCTTCAATTGGTTTTGGAACAGAGGAGGCCCACAATTGTCTTATGTTCCTAAAAGCTCTTTGTCAGTTTCTATATTCTTCATTATAAACCCAGCTAACTAAACATTGTGCTGACAAGCAATCAATTATTAGTTAACTACTAACTCCTAACTTTATCAAGGCCTACTCATTTATTATTATTATTATTATTTTAATTAACTCTAGTAAGGCTTCTCTTAGCTCCTCTAAAATCTCTAAATTCCTTAAAGTTTATGTTTCACTGGAGATACTCACTTTCCCTCAAGATCCATGTACCATCTTCCATTCTAGCTCTCTCAAATTCCAAACCCCTTCAAAACATCCAGCAGCTGCTCACTAAGAAGTCCTACAACAAAAAGCTGCTGCTGGCCTTTATGGTCCCTTCGCAGTCTGTAAGCTAGACAAAACACACTGGTGATTCACACTTTCCTCCTCAACTATATATATAGCACCAGTTCTCTCAGAGTGGCAGAGTCCATCATCACAGTGAAGCACTAACTGATGATGGATGTGCCAAGACAGAAGGCATTTGCTGCTCTACCCTCTTCCCTGTGCAAACTGTCATTCACAGTGCAATCATTTTCTCACAATGTCACCATGTCCAAGCAGCTAGAGATCACACAGAAGGAAGTGTCAAGACAGAACATGTTCTCAAAGTACCTCCTTCTCTTAACAGCATTTAAAACTGCACACAATGCTCTGTATCTTCTTTCCCAGATAGACCTGCTGTCACTTTTCTCACTCTCACATCTTGGTTGCAAACATCCAGCAGCTGCTCTCATAGAAAAGAGCTGAAGTAAAAGCCAGTACAGGGCTGCACCTTCCCCTTGCCTCACATCAAACTCACTGGTGCACTCTGTCCTTCCCTTCTCTGCTGCCTCTACCATTGTGTTCTCCAGATCTCAGAGTCTGAAGGTAGGCCCACAGAGGGGCTGGAAGATTAATAGGTAGCAGCACAAGTAGTTCTTGTTTAACTTTACCCTTAAGACTGCCAGCTTAGGACTGTGAATTTAGCTAGCAGGCCAGTGGCAGGCGTGCTCCTTTCACAGCCAGGACGCTGCTCCCAGCACAGAGAACTGTGCCAGGACAACAGGCTTGCCCAGACTTTGCCCCTGAAACTTGTGAAATGCTGTCTAAACTTTTGGAAACTTGTATTTGCACCACATTCAAGGGGAAGCCCCCTTTCTTTTAAAATCTTCAAGAAGCTGGTGGAGCACAGTGTTCTCTGCACGGTCCTTTTCAGCTCAAAGTACCACTGTGCACGTTGCAACCTCGCAAAGATTAAAGATCAGGATAGATGTCTCATACAGAAAAATGTGCAAGGACAAAAATGTGTTCCCTGTGTCTTCTAATAGTGTCTTTGTAGTGCTGGAGAGTGAGGCAGTTCTTTATTCCTGGCCAGGGTTTTTAAAAGGATGACAAAATTTCAGCCTCTACACAGGCACGGATACAAAATTTTTCCACCTATTTCTACATTTTTAGCAAACAAATTAGGGTTCGTTGATTCTAAATTGCATAATTATATTTCATTCATTAGTATACTGTCCTCTATTGGTTATTGATTCCTCACTGTTCATGTTAATTAGTCCATATTTTTAGGGGTTTTAGTATCTGTTTTCTCCAGTAGGGACTTTTCAACACACAGACACAGTCTTTGTTAGTCTCTTCTGGTTTCTGCAAAATGTCCTTGTAGTCCCTAAATTCTGCATTCCAGATGTTCAGCTTCAATGATACATCTTTCTTTCCCAGGCCCTTTTTATTGAAGCATATCAGATTTAGTTTATCAAAACTTAATGTATCAGAAATTTTACCAAGCTGTAGTCCCATAAAAGTAACTTCAGACAACTTTGCTAAATGCTGGCTTTAAATGATATAAGACTAACATACTGCTTATAATTAATATACTGGTTATGATTGTGTTTGGATTTTGTGTTATTTTTGTTTTGTTTAGGAGGAACTAGGAACACCAGGTTTTATGGTGTGGCTTGATTATCTAGTACCATATAAGCAAAGTTCTGGGTTTTTTTATCTTTCAGTACATATTATTAAAATTATATGAACCACTGTATTTTCTTCCAGTCACTTCTGATTTATTTAACCCTGTTCTCACCTAAACATAAAAGTGCTATATTTCTAGAATTCCTTTAAACTTGTCTAGCAAAGGTAACTGCAAAATCATTATTTATTTCTGCCATTTTTCTCTCCCAGATATGAATGACAGTACTGTGGTTGGTTCCCTTCCTTTTCTGAGGTCTGTAAAAGTCCACAACTCATTTGAGGGAAGAAAACCATAGCTTTCTTTTTAAGATTTTTTTTTCTTGCTGTCAGTACATGAGCTCTACTCTTGAATGTTTCAGCCTGGATCCACTTCCATCAGCCATTGAGATGAAGTACATGTTTTTTAGATGAGCAACAAGCAGCACTCCTGGTAAGATCCTGTGTGGAAGAACTTTTGGGAGGGGAGGGGTGTCACTAAGTGCTCTTATAGGATGGTAACTTTTTGTCTGATGGAGAGAGAGGTTTCCCTTTGAGGGATGAACATCTCTTAAAATTATCTGAGAACAGAATAAAAGTGGAGATTCTAATCTCCCAGAGCAGAAAGTTATTGCAGCATTTTAAATTCTGAAAATGTGATTTAACAAAGGTACAATACAGCACAGATGTACAAAATCTGCCCCCATGACACTTTTCTAGCTTCAGAAGTGAATCTGCATCTTCTAAAAATCTCAGGCCCTTCCTGTTGCTGTACTTCTCTTTGTTTCAGTTTTGCTACTGTTGATACATAGGAAACTCTCATAGTGTCCTTCCTGGTGGGAAATCCATTTGAATCCTCTTTACAGAGTCAGAACCATGACAGCTGTGGCCCATGGGCAGACCCTTGTACTGAAAAATCAGACCCCTTTGCTGGACTCAGGTTCAGGCTTGAGAGAGGGTCCAGAGAGTCCTGTGTACCCTGCCTCACCTTGGGGACATGGAGACAGACAGGGTCCCCATCCACTGTTCTGACACATGGCCTCAGGTCTGTGCCACTGTTGAAAGCAGCTCAACCAAGACCTGAGGAGGATGTTAAAAATGTGGTGGAAGTAACTTGGATGCTAAACTGCTTCTCATCAAGTGAGCACCACCGTGGGATGGCAAAATGGCTTTTTGTGCTAGGTGGAGTACAAGATGCTGTCCCTTGGGTGCCTGGCTCTGCCTGAGCGTCCCCTTGCACAGTTTGGGGGAGGCTGATTAGAATACCAAGATGGTCCCTGTCCAAAGATGTCATTTTGTGCATAAAATCATTCTAGTATGTGGAATGAGGTAAAACCAGTACCAGCTGAGAGCATCTTTGCTGTGCATCTGTCGCTGTTGGTGCTGCAGGGCAGGAAGGCCCAGCTCCCAGGTATTGCTGAGCTGGATGGCAGGTGCAGACTGGAGAGGCAGAAGCATTGGCTTTTTGGGGGTTGTCCTGGGTTTAGCTGAGCCTTTGCAAGGGCTCACCACTGCAAGCCCCTGGATGACCCTGGTGGCAGCAGCCACATCCTGCAGAGGGCCCTTGTCCCTGTGTCCAGGAAGACCTGGCAGTATGGGCAGCCAGCTGGAACACGGTGCTGGTGACAATCCTGGGTTGTCTGGCCAGTTACAATGACACCAGGGAAGAGATGAGGGGTCAGTGCCCAGCAAGAACCCCAGGGGGGATGAGCTGTAGCAGTGCTTCGGGCCTGATCCCCCAGCCTTTCTCTCTCAGTGCAGAGCAGCCTGGCACAAAAGGACACGTTTTTCACCAGAGGCCAAACCAATGTTTTATTCCTTGTCGTTTCCACACACTCAGGAGGCTGTGCATGGTCTGTGGTCACACTGGGCCACTCCCACTTCCCCTCTGATTGAGCCTGGACACCTTGTCAAGGCATATCCCAGGCCCAGGAGCTGACCCCAGTGCAGGAGCTTCATATGCTGTTGCTTCCAGTTCTGCTGGCTGCTAAAAGCAGGGTTGATCAACAAGTGAAAAGCCTGAGCTGTCAGATGGTTATGCTTTTAGATTGTTACATTTTGCCTTGCAAGCCAAGTGTGTCTCAATGTACCAAGAAATAGGTGGGCTCTGCTGAGCACCTGTGATGGGACAGGAGCTGGTTTCTAATGCCATGCCTAGAGCCCACAGGAGTCACTGGGAGCCTTCCCGTTCAGGCCAGTGGGCTGGGCAGCAAGTTTCCAAAACCAGCCCCTCTGCATCATCTCTTCCTTCAACCCTTCCTTTTTTCCTTTGCACACAAGCTTGGATCACAGCATCCCTCTGCTTCTAGCCCATGCAAATTCCTGACTTAAAACAGCAGGGAAGGAGCCTGAGGCAAGGCACTCTCTCACTGCATCCAGCTCAATGGGCACTAGCCAGTAGCTTTTCCTGAGCCACACAAGTGGGTTTTGTTCACAAAGCCACAACACTTTTAATAAGCTGCTTAAGTCTAGCGCAAGCTGAACTCTAAGGTGTCTGTAATCACAGCCAGTCCTTTTCCTGGAGGAGCAATGCTGCCTTGCCTCTCTCCAGCATGAGCAGAAGGGGCTCACCTGCTTCCCACCAGTTCACTCATGCTCAAAGAACTCATGG